TACAGGCTTGAGCCACCGCGCCCGGCCTGAGGGGCTATACTTTGTGCTTGCCCTCCACACTACCAGACTGTGTCAGGTTGGACCTCTCACCAGGAGGACCACACAGAGACCAGCAGCTGTGCTACCTGTCTGAGCCTTTGTTTCCTCTTCTGTGGACAGGGAATGTAACAGACTGTGGTCAGAGGGTGATTCTGAGGGTTAATGTATACAGGAAATGCATTTTAGCATGTCTTGGGATAGCCAGAGTCTGTTTCCACTGCAGAGTTGAGGGGTTCAGAGTTGAGTTGTTTGCAGGGGTAAGCCCATGTGCAACAGAGGGACGGCCCTTTCCAGTGGTCCAGGTGTAGAGCAGAGGCTAGCTTGCAGAGGGGTCCACTGGGGCTGGCTGACACCTCCCTGATTTGACGCTGATGACCACCTCAAATTAAGAGAGGGGCATCTCACCTGGCATCAAACCAATATTGTATTCATGCAGCAGTCACTTACAGATAGCCTCTTCCACCAGGGTATAGTTGTAGGCACAGTTCTAGGATTCAGACGGGCCCCTTACTGGCAGATCCTCTGACTGTAGGGCAGGGGCAGAAAGCAAACAACGATTGGGCCTTACAATCATGTGAGGTTATCTGAGGAGACCCATTGGGGCTCTGGGGGCACGGGGAGTAGGGGAGCATTGGGCATTGGGCCAGCTTCCCAAAGAAAGAGATGCTTAGAATGAGGCCATAGCAGACGTGGAGGTGGCCAGTCACATAGGGTGGGAGGGAAGTGAGTTCCAAGGTGGGGAGGGTGCAGGACATGAAGGAGCACGAGGCCAGGAAGAACCCAGAGAAGATCAACGTGGCCAGGGCCATTGCCCATGCACAGATGCCAGCTCGTGACAGTAGGGTCGGGACGTTGGCCTAAGAACCACTAGAGAGTTTTAACGATAGTCTTTTGAATTTGAGAAGGAGGAGGACGAGTTTTTGTTCCCTATTTACAGTAGGCATGGTCTCACAGACAATGTGAGTTGTCCTACTGGACATAGTAAAATAATGAAAACATCAGTCAGTCCAGAGGAAGTGGGAGTGAGCACAGAAGTCAGTCTGTGAGGCCGAGTACAGTGCAGGGTCTGCTGTGGCTGTGAGATGGCAGAGCATGTTGGGAGACAGTAGCAGGGTATTATCAGGACCCAGGGAGGTGAGAGAAGGGCAGAAGGTGGGGACCACTGGAGGAAGAGATGGTGCTTACCAAAAAGATGGAGGAGCAGTTGGAGAGGTGGTCAGGAACCAGAGAATGGAGAGTACCAGAGGCACGGGAAGAGAGCGTGTGGTGAAGGAAGAAGCTGTTAACCATGCTCCCGGCTACTGGGAAGCCAAGAAAGCTGAGGACAGAGAAGCACCCCTTGGAGCAAAGACAGGCTCAGTGGGCCGCGAGTTCAGGGCACAGGGCCACGCAAGGCTAAAGCTGGACAGGTGGGTCACCTGTGGCAAGGTGGGCCCCAGATGCCATGTGTGGATGTGCAGTCCTCTGGCAGGAAAGGGTGTGGCTGTGACCAGAACCTGGGTGCTGGTGCTCTGTCCTGGTGGTGACTGAGGCCACTCAGCACCTCCCCAACCCAGCAGGCACAGCTGGCTGAGGAGTGGCCCCTGAAAATGGTGTCAGCACCCGCACCTCCTGCCCCCTCTGCAAAGAAAATGACCCACCTTCACGGATCACGAGGTCAGGAGATTGAGACCATCCTGGCTAATGCAGTGAAACACCATCTGTACTAAAAATGCAAAAAATTAGCCAGGTGTGGTGGTGGGCACCGGTAGTCCCAGCTGTTCGGGAGGCTGAGAAAGGAGAATGGCGTGAACCCGAGAGGCGGAGCTTGCAGTGAGTGGAAATCATGTCACTGCACTCCAGCCTAGGTAACAGAACGAGACTCTGTCTCATAAAAAAAATAAGATAAAGAAAATGACCCAAACTCCACCACTGGGGCTGCACACCATGGACATCCGTGACCCCTCTATCCCAATGGATCTCTTTGGCTCATCAACCGCTGAACCCATCCTAGCCCCTACATATCAGCCAGGCCAGATCGGGCACTCCCCACAAACACACCTTTGTTCCCCTGCTGTTCTGGACTCTCCTTCATCTCCATGAGAACCAGCTTCCCCAGGGCCTCCCTTTGTGCACCTCCAGAGCCCCTAGGACCCTGGAATTCCTGGTCTACACACATGTCAACCTGTTCTGTAATGACCTGTCCCCAGCTGACTCTTCCACTAGTTTTCCCGCTTCCCGGGGGTGGGGTGGGCATGTGTTGCTTGTTTCTAAACCATGGATGGCCCAGAGCCTGGCCTGCTCTGGTGCCACCCCATCTGGCTGGTTCTCTGTGCCCCACCTGTCCTACCTCCTCTGCAACCACCCCCCACCCCCAGCAGACTCTCAGGCTACCGCCCAGTTGGGTGGGTTTCCCGGACTGTTTCCCTGGGGTCTGTGTGCCCCACCCCCACTTGAGCAAACCATCGCAGATCTGGGTTAGTTATAAATAGCCAGGCCCGAGACTCTTCTTTTAGCTGAAAAGAAGCAAAGTGAACGAGCAGAAAGGCACACCCGGCACGCGTTTTATTTTTAATCTTCTCCCTCTGTCTCAAAATGAACCCCGGTCCCTGTGCTAAGCATTTCTAGGAGCAGAAGTACAAGACAAATGCCTGAGAAACAAAACCCAAGGAGCTGAGGGCCCTGCCTGGCTTTGCCACCATCTGCTGTGTGACCTTGGGTATTCAAGTTGCCTCTCTGGGCCTCAGTTTCCTCACCAAGGAGAGGTGGGCAATGGAGGTGAACACCCTGAATGTTGACTTTTCTGACCTCAACTCTCTCTGTATCCCTCCCCCAACTTGTGCCCATCCTGACTCATGCAGCAGCTCCAGCAACGACACCTGTCCCAGGGATTTCCTGGGAAGCTCAGATAGGTGCAGATGAGGCTACAATCTAGCCGTGATTTGAAAATTAACAACTTCCTTACCCCCAGGTCTTTACTCAGGTGTCCCCATCCCAGAACCTTGTCCTTCCATCTGCCAGCAAAATTAATAGAAGGTCAAATTGTCACCTCCCTGCCGTGAGCTGGAAGAGGGCCGTCCAGGTCACCGCTGAGTTGGATCTATAGCCAGGAGTGGGTAGGGAGACCGTGGGCAGAACCTGAGGGGAAGCAGAGCGGGAGCAGGAGGCCAGGTGTGTGGTCTGGGCAAAGCAGGGAGCTGCGCGGGAGAGAGGATCAGGCCTCCAGCAGGGGTGGCAGGGGCTCTGCACCAACGGGCTCTGCAGGGCTTGGGCTGTGCAGCATTTGTCTTGTATCCTACCCCTCAGCCCCCAGCAGGCCCTTGCTTGTAACTGGGGCTCAGTGTTGGTGGAATTCAGGAGACTCTTGCCACCCTAGGCCCAGATGTTCTGGGCACACAGGGACAGACCCTTATATGGATGAAGAAATCCACAGCACGTGGAACACATTTTCATCCACAATCCCCTGCCAGGTAGGCCCATTTCAGTGATAAGGAAACTAGGCTCAGAGAGGTTGAGTAACTCATCCAAGGTCACACAGCTTGGAAGCGATGTGTTTAGAATGAGACCTAGGCCTTTTTTTTTTTTTTTTTTTGAAATCTGTGCACATTAAATAAAAAAGCCCAACACTCTAGAAGCAACAGGAACCCACTTTTCCTGGGTGGTCAGAGCCCTGAGAACAAACGGCACAGCTAGCTGCTCCATCTTATACCCCAGTGAGAAGGTAGCCAGGGGCACTGGGAGCCACCCGACACCACCCCAGGGAACCTGGGGGATGGGGCACGGGGAGCCCCTGGACATTATGAGACATGGGGGGACAGTAAGAGTCACTCAGCACCCTGCTCTGCCTCTCTACCCCATCATCCTGGGCACCTGCAGTTTGATGTCCTCAGGGAGCAGGGGAAGAAGGCTGGGGTGATGTCTTCAAAGAGGAAATCCCTGGTACTAATTGGCACTTGGAGACCTTTAGGCTAATCAACCTGTTTATTTCTCTCTCTAGAGTAAATTAGACAGTTTAGCTGGGGAGGGCGGAAGAAAGAGGTGTCTGCTGGTGGCCACCTCCCTGGGGGCTGTAGATGGCTTTGCAGTGGGCAGTGGGCTGCAGGGCAATGGTGAGGGCAGCCGCATGCCATGGGGAAGGGCACTTTGCACATTCCCTGTGCATCTCATCTCAGTGACTCAGGAGGGCTGTTCTGCCCACCGTCCTGGGCTCCTCAGGATGCCACTCGTGCCCAAGTTCTGGATTCTCTAGGCAGCCACTTGCTGACATTCCTTAGGAGGGAAGGGAGCTGGGAGGAGCCAGGTGGGGTCTGTTTATGGGGGAGTCTTGCCTCATTGTGCTTCTCCCAGTACCTGCACCCCAGCGGTGCCATGTGGAGCCCCCCTTCCCACAGAGCCCGAGGTCCCTTGAAGACCAGAGCACAGAGTTGAGGCACAGCTCTTTTTGGTGTGCAAGACACTGGCCTGTACTCTAGGTCTTCTGTCTCAGAGTCAAACCCAAGCTCTTCTCAAGGACTGGTCAGACCAGTGTGGGGTCTCCAGCAGCTTTGAAATATTTTGGTGAATGGGAAGTGGGGGCTTGACTGGCTCCCCAACTCTGGGGCAGGGGGAGGGAAGAGTGGAGGTCTCCTAGTGTGCCTGGGCCCCACAGGAGTGAGCTGTTGGCTCTCTGAGGGGTGGCTACTGCCTCTCCGGCTGACGTGCGCCTGCTATGGTGGATGCCCCCTGAGACACTGGTGACCAAAGGCTGGTCCTTCCCGGGTCTTCTGAGCCTCTGCCCTCCGCCCGACATGGCTGTCACTGCAGCCGCCTGCTGGCCGCTCAGGCCCCTGGCCAGGGAGGACGTGTGTGGGGGGGTGGCACTTGCAAGTCCTCTTGTCAAACCCACCCACTGGCTCTGCAAGACCCTCCTTGAGCCTTGCAGGCCAACTGGCATGGGTGGGTGGGTGGCTGGCCCGCCCTCAGCGCCCTTTCCTGCCTTGTAGGGGCCCAAGAGATCATCAGCAAGGGTCTGATTTCCCCGCTGGTGTGGAAGCTGCAGGTGGAGCGGGAGGAGGAGTTCCAGGAGCTCATCCTGGACACACTGGTCCTCTGCCTGCGGGAGGATGCCACTGAGGCCCTGGGCAGCAACGTGGTGCTTGTCCTGAAGCAGAAGCTCCTCAGTGTCAACGAGAACATCCGCAGCAAGGCCGCTCATGCGCTCCTTAATGTCAGGTGAGTCCTGGCCTAGGCTGGGTTTCTGCCAAGGCTGGGAGAAGGCACCTGAGCTGGGCTGGTTCAGAGCTCAAGGGCGGCCACCCTGGGCCTGCTTCCCCTTGCCTGCTTGTGCCTAGGGGCAGGAGGAAGCTGGGACGGAGGATGACCTTCTCCCCTAGGGTGACCACCATCCCTTTGGCCTGGGAGTGTCCTGTATCCCAGAAAACCCCTCAGGCTGAACAAAGCCAGACGACTGGCACCCCCTCCCCATGAGGAAGGCCAGCACAGGAGATGCACTGGTGATGATTATGACACCCAGCAGTCACTGAGTGCCTCCTGTGTGCCAGGCGTTGTCTCCAAACCTCACATTTAGACAACCCTCCAGGGAGGCGATGTCTGCCTTCACAGGTGAGAAATGGAGGCAGTGTCTTGTCTCTCACCCCAGGCCACACAAGATCACAGTCTACATCCTGGCCTGGAAACTGAGGGAGCACAAAGCCTCAAAGTTGCAAGGGGCGGGGTGCGGTGTGTGTTCTCACATTGGGCCCCTCTTCACAAGGATGGGCTGGTCACCGACCCCCAGAGTCCGTGCCTTAGCTGGGGCTACGTCTCTTTAGTGGAGGCCCTCTTGCCTTCCCTGAGTCCTGGCTTCTCTTCTGAGAGTCTCACTAGAGGCCAGGCCAGTATTTCTGCAAGTGGGGCTCCTGACCCAGGCCCCCGGGAGGTTTGTGAAAAAGCAGATTCCTGGACCCTGTCCCAGCCCCGTCATTCTTAGGTCTGCTCAGAGGTCCCCTTCCTGTGTGACCACGAGAGTGGCTTGCCAGGAGAGAGCTCTCTCTCTGAAACCGTAACCTCCCCGCTGTCCCCCGTCCTCCCATGTTCACTGTGAACACCATCCCTGCCGTTACTTTGTGTGTCATCCCCGAGGGAAGCTCCTGAGGACAGGGCTTTCCTCTGTTTCCTGCCCTAAACCCAGGGTTTGCAGCGGTGGAGCTTTGGCCCCCAGTTGAGAATTATCTGGCCCTAAAGAGCGCTGAGCTGGAGAAACCCAGCTTTTGTCTCAGTGTCTCGCTGTGTGAACGAATCGGGGAATCCCTGCATGTGGGGTCCAGGACTCTGCATCTTTGATCACGGGCCTCGGGGTTGAGTCCCACTGTCCTGAAAGCTCCACAGGCTCCCAAGGTCACAGCTAGTGGCTGGCCAACCCCATTTCTCAATCTGTTTCCCAGGGAACACCTGTGTCTTTGAGGTCATTAAGAGCTCTACAAAAATGAAGGTTCTTTGGTGGCTACGTTTGGGAAAGGTTGATTAAGTGACACAGGGGTCTTTGCACTGTGACACTCCTGTGGGGCTTGTGAACAGTGTTTCCTGGCCCAGGGAACCCTTGCTTTTTAGGGGACAGAATTGACCCTCTCACAGGAAACTTTTAGGGAGTCATCATCCTCATTTCCACAACTTCATTCAGTGCCAGAGTAAGTGGCCTAAAGGTCACCTGGTCTGAGTCCTTAGCTGCAGTTGCCCAGTGCCTGGCAGCCACTGCTGTTGGGGGCAGCTTGACCCATCACTGGCAGCTCTGGCTCCTAGGCAAAGTCAAAACGGGTCTCCCTGTGGTTGACACCCCTGGGTCCTGCTCTTTCCCATTTTGGGGCCACGGAGAATGTGCCCTGTTTCTTTTCTGTGTGCTGGCTCAGAATGAGGCCCTGTCACTCCCTGGTCTTCACTCGCAGTGGGCCGCATTCACACCAATTCTCCTCTGCAGCCCAGCATCCCCGCCTTGACCAGTCCTGGATCATGGGGACCAGTCCTTGGACTACCTGGGGTAGTCCCAACACAATTCTTTCTTTTGTGTTTCCCTGGAGCACTCCTGGGCCTTGCCCCTCTTCTCCCTTCCAAGCAGAGCCCCTCTCTGTTCTCTCTCTGCCCCAGCATATCTCGAGAGGGCAAGAAACAGGTGTGTAAGTTTGACGTCATCCCCATCCTGGTGCATCTACTGAAAGACCCGGTGGAGCATGTGAAGTCTAATGCCGCCGGGGCCCTGATGTTCGCCACAGTGATAACTGAAGGTGAGGCGGTCGGGGGTGCCACAGGGAGGGAGACCCCGGCAGGCTAGCAGCCATGATGAGCTTTCTGTGCTCAGGGGCTGAGTGTTGTTCCCCAAACCCCACACTTTGCAAAAAAAAAAAAAAACAACCCCCCCCTTGGTCTATCACTGATGTCCTTTCAAGGTTGGGTCTGAGGCTCAGCCCTCCCTCTTCTCCCCAGCACAGTGGCCCCTCACCGGTCACTCACATTAGGACTTCTGTGCCTTCACACCAGTCTGTTCCCTGGGCCTGGAATTCCCACCTCCCACCCAGGCCCCTCGTGAGCTGTGACCCAGGAGTTGATTAGTTTACCATTCATGATTCTGTTATCCTGAGGTCTAAGCAAATCCTGGAGCCCTGGACTCTATGGTGTTTATTCATCATAATTACTTTTTTAAACTGGGGCAGGGGGCAAATTCAGAATTGGGACTCCCAACCAGTCAGGCTTCCCCTCTAAGTCACCCAACCCTGGGCGAATGGAAGAACGCTGGGCTGTTTCCACACCTGGCAGACTAGGGCATGGCACTCCCAGGTCCCCTGAAAGCGTTTGACTTTCCCTCTGACCCCTACGCACCCACCAGCCTGGGGCCCTGTGCGTCCTTTGAGTTCCACAGAGGACCATCTGGGCTTGGAATTGCAATCAGCCTCCCAAAGACAGGTCCTCCCAGGCCCTCCACACCTGACCCTAACGCTGCTTGAGGTACGCAGATGGGAGAGGTTGGGTCCTTCTTGGAGTCCACAGCCCCTCCTTTTACTGGTATAGTCAGGATGCTGACTGCATGGTGGCAGGGGCTCCCCCTGCGTGTTTATCTTGGGACAGCCTCAGCCCAGTGTCCCTCTCGGTCCAGGCTTCCTGCAGGAGTGCTTGGAGGGCCACGGGGCTCGACACACAAGAGGCTGGGACCCAGGGAGATGAGGCCACTTATTCCCAAGCTGGCACTCCAGCTGAGGGTCTTGAAGCCCCTGCCACGTGCCAGGCCCTGGGAGGCAGTGATGAGGGATGTGAAGGAGAAGCCCAGCATGGGTGGGGCACACACAGGTGCCAAGCCTCCTCTGGGAAGGGCTTGGAATCAACCCCAAGGACAATGGCAGTTGGCAGGGCCCAGGCTGAAAGGTTCCACCAGCAAAGGGGAGAGTCCGCTGGGAACTGCAGGAGTGTAGGGCCGGCAAGGACAGCAGGAAGGGGCAGCGAAGGGTTGAGGAGGACATCTCCCGGGAACCGTGTGTGTTTTGTGCAGAGTAGGTGCTCAAGAAATATCGGCAACATAAATGAACTATTGAGTTACTTTTTTTTTTTTTTAAACGGAGTCTTGCTCTGTCGCCCAGGCTAGAGTGCAGTGGCACGGTCTCAGCTCACTGTAAGCTCCGCCTCCCAGGTTCACGCCATTCTCCTGCCTCAGCCTCCCAGTAGCTGGGACTACAGGTGCCCACCACCACGCCCGGCTAATTTTTTTGCAATTTTAGTAGAGACGGGGTTTCACCGTGTTAGCCAGGATGGTCTCGATCTCCTGACCTCGTGATCTGCCCGCCTCAGCAAAGTGCTGGGATTACAGGCGTGAGCCACCGCGCCCGGCTGGGTTTGCTTTTTTTAAGAGCCAGGGTCTCAGTGTGTCACCCAGGTTGGAGTACAATGTCACAATCACTGTAGCCTCAAACTCTCAGGCTCTAGTGATCCTCCCACCTCAGTCTCCTGAGTAGCTGTGACTATAGGCACCTGTCACCACATCTGGCTAATTTTTAAATTTTTGTAGAGATGGAATCTCATTATGTTGCCCAGGCTGCTCTTGAACTCCTGGGCAGGATACAACTCCTGGGCTGAGATTAGCCGGTTGAGGCCGGAAAGGCAAGAGATGAAGGGGCCAGACCCAGGCTGGACTCAGCCAAGGCGCAAGAGCCCTGAGGGTGAGGGCATGTTGGTGGGGCGTAAACCAGGCATAAACCCCTTGAGACTGCACAAGGAGGAGGGTCAGGAGAGGGCTAGGGTGAGGGGGTGAGAAGAGGGCCCCTTGGGCTGTTAGGAACGCCCTGTGTTGGTGGCCTACAGGGAAGTATGCGGCCCTGGAGGCACAAGCCATCAGCCCGCTCCTGGAGCTGCTGCACTCCCCCATGACCGTAGCGCGCCTGAACGCCACCAAGGCCCTTACCATGCTGGCAGAGGCCCCCGAGGGCCGCAAGGTCCTGCAGGTGCACGTGCCCACTTTCCGTGCCATGGAGGTGGAATCTCACGAAAAGCCTCAAGTGGCTGAAGCCTTACAGCGGGCAGCCCGGATCGCCGTCAGTGTCATCGAGTTCAAACCCTGAGCCCCTCATCCACCTCTGTGTGTGAATAAATGCGCTCAGTCTCTTTATCTTGGGTCCGAATGGCACTTTCTGTTCCTGGAGCACAGTCACATCTTCTCTCGGTCTCTTGCCAGGCCCAGAAGCACCAGGTCCTGGGTGGCACAGGCTGAACCCAGTGTGGGGGATGAGTGGGAAGTGACCTTGGAGTTGTACTCTCTCCTGGGGCCAAGAGTCCCCCTCAGAAGGAGGGGAGCAGGGCTGAGCCCTCCAGGGACAAGGCTGGGGGCAGGGACTTGGGCTAGGAGAAGGAAGGAACCCAGATGGGCCAGGCACCACCCAGGTTTCAGAAGACTGAGTGACTGATCCCTGGGGTGTGGCTGGGTGTGGCTCTGCTCTGCCAGGTCTGCCCCTTCCCCACCCTGGGTGATGGGATGGAAGGTGATAGGTGAAACCCAATGCAGGTTCTTCGTGGAGAGGCCTCCTCCGGGGACGAGTGCTCAGGACAGGGTTTCCTCATTAAGATCTTACCCTAAACAGCCGCATTATTCTCCAAAGCAAGGAAGTCATCCAAGCATGCCCCCAGGTTGGCCTGAAGCCCATCCCACCCTTCCTTCTCTTTCCCTTGGGTGTATGTGGCCCCCAGGGCAGCCCTCTTCTGCCTGTGCCTTCATCTGGGCTCCTTCCCTGCAGTGAAGGTGACAAGGAGGCTGGGAGCTTAGGCAAGGAGAGAGAGAGGTGGGCTGAGAGGTGGAGGAGGGGAGAAGCCAAGCTGCAGGGGGCTCTGGGGCATGGGGCTGAGGTTGGGGAATGACCAGGAGAGCTCCTTAATCTCCCTCTACTCATCTCTGCATGGTCTGGCGAGGCAATGGTTCTCCTCGTTTTGGGGGAGAAGCAGCTTGTCCTGGCCTCTGTTGGAGGAGCTGTCAGAGCAGAACTCAGCTTCAGGGCTGGGCCCTTTCGTCTGGGGCTGAGCTGGAGCCTTACTCTTTCCCAGGAGCTTTCTGAAGCTCTCTGTCTCAAAGAAGGTTTCCTTCATTCACATCACCCCTTGGCAGTCATATTTCCTGTGAGGTGCCCACTCCTCCCAGAATAAACCTTTCAGCAAAACCAGAATCTCAAAGGGAGCCCCTTCTTAGTCCTTTCAATGAGCCCCAGGGGTCCTCACTTTCCCAGAAGAAACACAGGGAAGTTATTGTCTCTGGAATCATAGGATGAATCCAAGTAGGGCCTCTTGTTGTGGAAGGGATGGGCAGCTGGGCCCAGCTGGGGTTTCAGGCTCATTCCCATTCTCAAAAAGGCACCCCTAAGAGGGCTGGGTGCAGTGGCTCATTCATGTAATTCCAGCACTTCGGGAGGCTGAGGTGGGCAGATCACTCAAGGCCAGGAGTTCAAGACCAGCCTGGCCAACATAACAAAACCCCCTCTCTACTAAAAATACAAAAATTAGCTGGACGTGATGGCACACGCCTGTATTCCCAGCTACTTGGGTGACCGATGCATGAGAATCACTTGAGCCTAGGAGGCAGAGGCTGCAGTGAGCTGAGATCATGCCACTGCACTCAAGCCTGGGTGACAGAGTGAGACTCTCTCAAAATAAAGCTTTAAAAAAGGCCCCCTAAGAGGAAATCTGTTCTCCTTCAGGAAACATTTCCTCATGTCCATTTCCTCATGTTCCAGTCCTGCCTTAACACAGCAGGCTGGCTCTATCCCTACCACAGGCTCTGGCCAAGATTACCAAACTCCCTGCTGCAAGACCCTGTGCTCTTGGTATCCTCTGTAGAACTGTCTTTGTTTATATGGCTGGTCGTGCTGATGCTTCTCATGCCTCTGTTCAGGCCCTATCTTCTCCCACTTTCCCTGTGCAATCTCATCTGCCTGGCTTTGGGCCTTCTCTAACAGGTTCCCTTCTGAGCTGAGCCTGGTCTCTCTCCCCTGTCTCCCCCAAATCTGGGTATACAGCCCCACCCTCTCTCCTGAGTTCTGAATTCTTATGTCCAACTTAACATCTACCCTTAAATGTCTCCAGGCAAGAATTAGTACCAATCTTTCACAAACTGTTCCAAAAAACAGAAGAGGAAGAAATACCTCCCAACTCATTCTATGAGTGTAATATTACCCTGATACCAAAACCAAAGATATCAGCTGGGCACAGTGGCTCATGCCTGTCATCCCAACATCTCCACAAAAAATACAAAAATTAGTCTGGTGTGGTGGTGCATGCCTGTAGTCCCAGCTACTTGGGAGGCTGAGGCAGGAGAATCACCTGAGCATGGGAGATCAAGGCTGCAGTGACCCGAGATCATACCACTGCACTCCAGCCAAACAAACAAAAACCACTCAAAGATATTACAAGAAAACTGCCGACCAATATTTGTTATGATTATAGAAACAAAAACACAACAAAATATTAGCAAACCAAATTCAGCAACATATGAAAAGCATTATGCAGCATGACCAACTGGGATTTACCCCAGGAATGCAAGGTTGGTTTAGCATATGAAAATCAGTCAACGTAGTATAACATAGAATAAAGGACAAAAGTCACATAATCATCTTAATAGAACATTCCACAAAGTTCAACACCCATTCGTGATGAAAAACAAACTCTCACCAAACTAGGAAAAGAGGGTAGTTTCCTCAACATGATAAAGAATATCTGCAAAAACTCAGCTGACGTTATATTAACCTGATTGCTTTCCCCTGATATCAGAAACAAGACATCTCTATTCAGCATTGTACTGGAGGTTCTAGTTAGGCAGTTAGGCAAGAAAAAGAAAGAGCATACAGACTGCAAGTAAATAAGGGTAAACTCTCTATTCACAGATTACATGATTTTGTATTAAAAAACTCCCAAGGAAGTACACTTAAAAATGATTAGAACTAATGAGTAAGTTCAACATGCTTTCAGGATACAAGATCAATATACAAAAATTAATTGTGTTCCCAAATACTAGCAATGAACCATCCAAAAACAAAATTGAGAAAACAGTTTCATTTACAATACCATCAAAAAGAATAAAATACTCAGAAATAAATTTAGCAAAAGGAATGCAAGATTTGTACACTGAAAACAAAATAGTGTTGAAAGATGTTAAAGACTTAAATATATGGAAAGACATCCCATGTTCATGGATTAGAAGGCTTAATATTATCAAGATGACAATAAACATCTTCATGCAGCTCAAACTCTACATGTCAGAAATGAGTTCATCTTTTCCCCATACCTGCAGTTACTCCAGTGCAGCCTGTCTCTGGAATTGGTGCCCCCTTCATTCACCTGCTCCAGCCAGAGTCACCCCTGGCCTGTCCCTCCAAAGGTCTCCACCTCTGTACCTCTCTGCCACCAACTTGCCTGCTTTGCTCTAGCAGTGTCCTGGTGGGTGTTCCTGTCTCACTTTTATCTTCCCAGCAGCAGGAAGCAAATCTGATCCTATCACTTCCTTGCCTATGCTTTCAGGGACGTAGGGCCGCAAAGCATACAAGGCCTGCTGGTCAGGCTTCCGACTCTCTCCCTCTCGCTGTTCTCCATGCACATGCCATATCTCGGCATCCTCAAACACGCCTTGTACTCTTGCCACATGTTTTCCCACACATGTCCCTTCTGTTATCCAGCCAACTGATTCCCCCTTTCCCCAACTTTGAGGCTAAATGGAGGTTTCTGCTGGGTGCTCTTGCAGTGCACACATTGCACCCTGTGAAATGTGGCTAATTCTTGTCCCTCCACAAGGGTGGTTCTGTGGGTTGAATATGATAATGCACCTACCCTGTACCTGAAAACAGCAGGGCACATGAAATGATGGCTATTGCTGTGATTGCTTGTTTTCTACCATACTTCATATACTCCGGAGAGAAGTTCCCATGTGCTTTGTTCATGGTTATTTTCTTCGAGCTCGACATGGTGGCTGGCACATATTAGGCACTCAAAAGTGTCAGCTGAAGGATTAAAGAAAGGATGAGGGCTGGTCATGTGAATATACCTTCAGAGCGTGATTCCATGATGAAATGATTTCAAGGTACCTGGAACTTTTCCTAAAGACACAAATTATTTTGGACTGGTAATAAGAAAAGTGAAGGCAAGGTTTAGGGAGCCCCTATGGAAACATGGCTCAGGAGTGTCCTCTGATAGCTCAAGTGGATCTAACCTATGGGGCCAGATTCCAATAACGTCCCGATGCCAGGCAGGCTGTGAGTGTGACTGGGGAGAACTGGCCTGGAGGAAGTTTCCTCTTAATCTGCTCTCAAGCAATGCAGCACAACAGAAGCTAAACAGAGTTGAGTGGTAGGTAGGCCTGTTCTGTTAAAGCAGAGCCTACCTCAGTCCCACCAAAGTTCAGGCAGAGGCCAAAGCTTCCATCCCTGGCACCTGTTGCCCCATGGCCTGTGTGGTCATCAGTGCTGGAGAGCACCTATAGGTGAGATTCCCTTGCAGGGGTGGGGTGGGGCTTCCACAACTCAGCATCTTGGCCAGCAGGGCCATACTTTGGAAAATAAGGAGAGAACCAAGCAATGGAAGTTGGGTACACGAAAGAATTGGTGACAGTGAAGTAAACACAAGCAAAAATTCCAAATATATATAGAGATGAAAAGCCAAAATTAAATTTAAAGTGAAAGTGTTTATGCAGTGGAGCCATTTGGAGAAAATGACTCATTTTGTCAAGGAACAGATGTTCTCATTTGCATACTTTCTGTAATGGCGAATGGACTTTGCTCTGTCCTGCCACACGGCATGTGTGCACTGCTGCTGGTAGCCCTTGATGCATGACACCAAGGGAACATTTTTATTAATGTAATCCTTGGCCCCAGGCCCATGGGTCTCCCAGTAGGAAACACTTTGTCCCTGTTCATGATGAGCCTGGAGAAGCAGCAGCTCTGCCTCCTCCTGGACAGCCCCAGCCCAGCTGCTTCAGGCAAAGTAGATGAGGCCAAGGACCTAGAGCATGATCATGATGATCCCACTGATGCTCATGACTCTCCTCCAGTAGGGATTCTCTGACATGTTGCCCCACTCTGTACCTTCCATCTTCTTAGCAACCTCTACTTTCTCAATTGCCTCTCCCAGAGCCAGCAC